CTTTTAAATAGTTGATTTGATATTAACATTGATATATTTTTTTTCAAATTTTTATGATATCTTCAAATTTATATTTTATTCAAAAATAAAATAATTATTGCTTTCTTAAAAACACATAATTTATATTATATTATAAAACATTTGACAAAAACTTTTAAAACTCACTTTTTATGCGTAAAATACTGTTTATTAATGCATATTATTTAGAACTCAAGATTGCAAGTAGATTGTGCGTAAGTACAATTTATTAAAGCTCCATATCTGAATTCGTGTAACCAATTGTAGATAAATCTATACTATATTATAAAGCATTTGACAAAAACTCTTAAAAACCATTTTTTATGCATGAAGTACTATTTATTGATTCATATTACTAAAAATTTAAGATTATAATTAATTTTGCGTAAGTACAACTTATTAAAGCTCAATTTTTAAATTTGTGTAACTAACTGCTGATAAACATAATCAAATATAGGATAAACATCAATTTTAAAGATAGAAATCTAAAATATAATTAAGATAATCATTGAGTTCTAACAGAATGTTTAACTATTATATTTATTAAAAAAATTATATTATTAAACCAAAAATAAATTACTTTTTAATTAAATCTAAATCAAATTATAATAAAAAATTAAATTAGAAAAGTTACACACAAAAAAAAACGAGAACTATTAAATAGTTAATTTGATATTGTTATCGATTTATTTTCTTACAAATTATTATGTTATTTTCAAATTGATATTTTAGTTCAAAAATAAAAACATTAGTGTTTTCTCAAAAATCAAAGCCACATAAAATGGTATTATAATGATAGAGACAAAGAATAAAAACTAAACATTAAAATCGAGATTTATCTTGCTGTATTGCGCGAGTATCCTTCTAATATTTTTAAGACATATTTATATTGATAGAATATATATTAAGAAAATTACCCTATGGCTATGGATATAAAAGGGGGAAAGGATAGAGTTATAAAAGTGAATTAAGAAAATAAAACGAAGTTTCATTTGCCGTGCAAACACAAATTTCCATGAGTGAAATTACATTTTGGTTGATGCCAAATTACGGATTTTGTTCCTAGAATTATGGAGCATATTGTCCCTATGGTTTGCATTTTGTTACAAGATTGGCCCCTAGTCTTAACTCTTTTAACTTTTAAACCCCTTAACTCAAAACCTATTTGGTAGGTCAATCTACCTTTTTTTTGTTACTAATATACATACATATATATTATTAAAATGGATACATCCCATTGTTGAAGGAATAAAAATTTGATGTTCATAAATCTTTTCTCTTACGTGTCAATCAATTACGTGAAGTTAACATCATTTCATTTATTGAGAAGAATAAAAAGATTAATCAAATATACGTAAAATATGTGGGACGAGAGGGGATTTACGTAATTGGTGGGACGGGAGGGGATTTGTGGATAACAAATTTTATTCCCGATAATGCTCCTCCACTCTCAAAGAACCCCCCCCCCCCCCCC